ATTAAGGACATGTTCAACAACCAGGATCCCAATAAAGATGGGAAGATTGTAGAATATGAACTGAAAGTTACGGTAGAAGATGATTCTGAAAAAGTAAGAAGAGACGAGCTGTAAAGGGGACATACAGTATTTCATTTGTGGTGAGAAACAGGCATACAGTGGCGGAGGTTTTGCCGTCATTTTAGCAGCTGTCATGCAACTATTTTGAAGATGTTTCAGAGACTGAAACGTTAAGTCTTCTTAAGACAGAGAGTTCGCCTTCCTAGAATCTGTTAAAATATGTTGTACGCAGGAAATAGGTGTTTGAAAATGTGAAAGGGAAGAAAAATGGTCTGTGGGGAAATTGGGTTCTTTTGGAAAAGGCACATTTGAGTCAAATATTTACATTGTGCTACCTAAGAAAGCATTTGGGCTGGGCCCTTTCTCCAGAATATTACTAAATATGATTAGTAGTCATTGCAGTGCCTCGTATAAAAAGGATGAAAACTCACTGGTTGTACAGTATATTTGGGGGTGGTTAGTTTGTACAATACTAGAAAATCTATTATAGATAATTCTATTACAAAGTGTGCTGTGGAAACATGAAATAAACTGTTTTATAGTAAAATGAAGACGACACCAACTTTATTTCTTCCACACTGTCCGTGTGCAGACATGTACCTGTGAATTAGTTTCATACACTTCAATTCAGTGGCCTAAATTTAAATGATAAAAAAATAAACATATGAAGAGGTAATAAGTCTGGATTAATGAAGAGAAAAATGCATGACAGACTGTATGTGACACTTTGTCCACAAATGACAGAAAGTAAGAGCCTGTTTAAAACACAGTTAAAATGGCTATGAAGATGAAACCCCATATGCCTGATTCTAATTTAAATTCCCTAAAATTTGGCACAAACATCAACTTGGACTCAAGGATCATTATTGTTGGTAATAAGGCAAAGGTCAAGGACACTGTGATCTTGTCTGCCTTGAATGCAATACCTCAGGAACACTTTGAAGGGTTTCATAACTTTGGCACAAACGTCCATTTGGAATTAAAAATTAATTAGAATTTGTTGGTCAAAGATCATAGGTCACTGTGACCTCACTAAACGTGCTTTAGGCCACAACTCAAGAATTCATACACTAATTATAACAAAATTCCACACAAATGTCTAGTAGGATATAATGACCTTTAGGATTTCTTTAAATGGCATTTTTATGACATACAGTCCTATGACTTGTTTTGTACATTTTAATGACATACTGCACTATGACATTTTATGACATACTGCACTATGACATTTTATGACATACTGTACTATGACATTTTTATGACATACTGCACTATGATATTTTATGACAATCTGTACTGTGACATTTTTATGACATACTGTATTATGACATTTTTATGACATACTATACTATGACAGTTTTTATGACATACTATACCATGACATTTTTATGACATACTATACTATGACAGTTTTATGACATACTATATTATGACATACTGTACTATGACATTTTTATTACATACTGTACTATGACAGTTTTTATGACATACTATACTATGACAGTTTTTATGACATACTATACCATGACATTTTTATGACATACTGTACTATGACATTTTTATGACATACTATACTATGACAGTTTTTATGACATACTAGACCATGACATTTTTATGACATACTATACTATGCCATTTTTATGACATACTATACTATGACATTTTTATGACATACTATACTATGACAGTTTTTATTACATACTGTACTATGCCATTTTTATGACATACTATACTATGACATTTTTATTACATACTGGACTATGCCATTTTTATGACATACTATACTATGACATTTTTATGACATACTGTACTATGACAATTCTTTTATGACATACTATACTATGACATTTTTATGACATACTATACTATGACATTTTTTTTATCACATACTGTACAATGACATTTTTGACATACTATACTATGACATCTTTATGACATACTATACTATGCCATTTTTATGACATACTATACTATGCCATTTTTATGACATACTATACTATGACATTTTTATTACATACTGGACTATGCCATTTTTATGACATACTATACTATGACATTTTTATGACATACTGTACTATGACAATTCTTTTATGACATACTATACTATGACATTTTTATGACATACTATACTATGACATTTTTTTTATCACATACTGTACAATGACATTTTTGACATACTATACTATGACATCTTTATGACATACTATACTATGCCATTTTTATGACATACTATACTATGCCATTTTTATGACATACTATACTATGACATTTTTATTACATACTGGACTATGCCATTTTTATGACATACTATACTATGACATTTTTATGACATACTGTACTATGACAATTCTTTTATGACATACTATACTATGACATTTTTATGACATACTATACTATGACATTTTTTTTATCACATACTGTACAATGACATTTTTGACATACTATACTATGACATCTTTATGACATACTATACTATGCCATTTTTATGACATACTATACTATGCCATTTTTATGACATACTATACTATGACATTTTTATTACATACTGGACTATGCCATTTTTATGACATACTATACTATGACATTTTTATGACATACTGTACTATGACAATTTTTTTATGACATACTATACTATGACATTTTTATGACATACTATACTATGACATTTTTTTTTATCACATACTGTACAATGACATTTTTGACATACTATACTATGACATCTTTTTGACATACTATACTATGACTTTTTTTATCACATACTGTACTATGCCATTTTTATGACATACTATACTATGACATTTATTATGACATACTGTACTATGACATTTTTATGCCATACTATACTGTGACAATTTTATTACATACTATACTGTGCCATTTTTATGCCATACTATACTATGACAGTTTTTATGACATACTGTACTATGCCATTTTTATGACATACTATACTATGACATTTTTTTATCACATACTGTACTATGACATTTTTATGACATACTATACTATGACAGTTTTTATTACATACTGTACTATGCCATTTTTATGACATACTATACTATGCCATTTTTATTACATACTGCACTATGACAATTTTTTTATGACATACTATACTATGACATTTATTATGACATACTGTACTATGACATTTTTATGCCATACTATACTGTGACAATTTTATTACATACTATACTGTGCCATTTTTATGCCATACTATACTATGACAGTTTTTATGACATACTGTACTATGCCATTTTTATGACATACTATACTATGACTTTTTTTTATCACATACTGTACTATGACATTTTTATGACATACTATACTATGACAGTTTTTATTACATACTGTACTATGCCATTTTTATGACATACTATACTATGCCATTTTTATTACATACTGCACTATGACAATTTTTTTATGACATACTATACTATGACATTTATTATGACATACTGTACTATGACATTTTTATGCCATACTATACTGTGACAATTTTATTACATACTATACTATGAAATTTTTATGACATACTATACCATGACATTTTTATGACATACTGTACTATGACATTTTTATGATATACTATACTATGACATTTTTATGACATACTGTACAATGACATTTTTGACATACTATACTATGCCTTTTTTTTATCACATACTGTACTATGACATTTTTATAACATAGTATACTATGACATTTTTATGACATACTGTACTACGACTTTTAAAAAAAAACATTTCTGCAGCATACTATATTATGACTTAAACAAAAACACTTGAATGATACACTATGACTTTTTTATGGCATACTATAACTGATTTCTTTACATACAATCCTATTACTTTTTTATTTTATTTTTTACATTTTAATGGCATACTATACTATGACCTTTTGACATTTTTATGTCATACTATACTTTAGCATATTTAATGGCATATTATTTTATGACATTTTGTTTGCCATACTATGACACTTTTTATGGCATACTATACTGTGGCGTTTTTTGACATAGTTTTACTGCTTTTAATGACTTTTTATGACAATTTTACATTTTCATGACATACAATACGTTTTTTTTTAAATTTGTTATGGCATGCTATGACTGTTTTATAATTTTTCAATGATTTTTTTAGCACACTATGCTAGGACTTTTTATGACATACATTTTAATGGCATACTATACTATGGTTTTTGTAATGTCCTACAATATTATGACATTTTGTTTGACATGCTATGGCAATTTTTATGGCATACTATACTATGTCATTTTTTAATGACTTATGAAAAAAACATTTTTATGGCATGCTATGACATTTTCAATGATATACTATACAGTGACTTTTTTGCATTTCTATGTCATACTATACTATGACACTATGATTATACTATTACTTTTTTAATGACATACTGTATTATGACTTTTTTTTAAAACATTTTTATAGGATACGTTGCTATGACTTTTTTATAACATACATTTAATGGCATACTATATTATGATATTTTGTCTGACATACTATGAGACTTTTTATGGCATACTATACTGTGACATTATTTATGGCATACTATACTGTGACATTTATGGCATCCTATGATATGACATTTTTAATGCTTTTTTATGGCATATATTATGGTATACTACAAAATGTTACTTTTATGATGTTTTGATGTAGTATAATAACTTTTTAATGGCATATACTGTAAATATTTTTTTACACTTTTTTTATTACTTCTTTTATGGCATAATATACCACAAATTGACTTTTAAAGATATTACAGAATGCCATGTAACAAAAAAATTCACACTTTTGTTGTCAAATACAAACAACACCTACTATATTTCTTCCATGCTGTCCATGTACAAACATGTGCTTGTAAGACTTTGACTCAGTGGCATAAATCTTTAATTCATTAAACATTCATAATGAAACATGACGATCTGACACAGATTGAAACACATTTTATTTCAGACAAGTTGGAACATATAAAGAGGTAATGAGTTTGGACAAAAGATGACAAAAAAATGCATGAATAAGTAATTGGCATATTGTCCACAAAAAAATATTTTCTGTATGGTGTTAACCTGGAGCTTCATGAAAAGTTTGTTTTGAACAAAAGCTGCAGTGCAGAAAGTAAAAGATTTCCTCAAAACCATAGTTAAAATAACCGAATGTGAAATAATGTAAAATACAAAATTCTTAAAATCCTGTGTTAGACTGTCTGTGATACTGAAACACCTCTGAGGTAGCAGTTAGTGGTTAAAAATTGTTTGACTTCTGCCATACTTTTTCACCCATTTATTTTACTCTTAAAGTCTGGTGTAGTAGTCATAGTTAACCACTTAGTAGCACTGGTGTGACACAAGAAAAACAATAGCTTTCCTAAAAAATACAGCTTGTACCATATGCTTGACAATGCGGCTTGAAACTGGAAGACTTGACATTGTAAAAAAAACATTTTTAAAAGCATCAGATTTCAGGTTTAAATTTGCTGGAAATGAGCTTTAGTGTAATAGGATGAATTTCGGTGTAAAACCAAATGCAGAGTCAAGTGCTGCCATTTATGTTGTGCGTTTTTCTTTCCCTTTATCCTTACATCCTACAGTATATGAGACCAAAACTGTCTGACAAGACCAATCTTCTCCCAGACAAGCAAACAAACGAACAAAAAAAACTTAATTAAAATTAATCACACACACTCTTAACATGTTGCACAGTAAATAAACGGTGTAAATCTGGCTTCCATCACATACAGCATGTCCCAAAAGCAGTTTAATCATAACCATGAGAGGAAGACTAATGGACAAAAATATAAAAGAGTGACATAGTGTACGTGAGCTGTGGCTGTCAGCTGGACTTGTGAATAGTTTTGTAAAATAAAAAAGAATCATAAAACATTCATAGTGGGTTGTTCTTCAGTCTTTAACTGGCACTTTTTGAGCAGGGACCTTCTCAGCTGATGGCACCTGAGTGTTCAATACCAAATGGCCAGCGATGTTCTCGATTCTTAGTTCACTTATTGCCAGTAAGATAGAGCAGTACAGCGTTAGGGACATCCAAGGTTTCATCTTTTATCAACACAATGTCGTAGGAGTCCAAGTAAGACTGCTTCCTCTCTTCCACCTGAGGGAAAAAAAAAACAGATGATAAGTGTAATAAAATAGTACTTAACATGGTAAAAATTGGGAGTGTACTATTTCTTTAGAGGGTAGATGTGAACATACTTGAGTTCTGACATTTATCTCAGGGCAGCAGGTGTAAATATTATTGTGCAGCAGTTTAAGTACAAAGTGCAAATTAACAAAGGTTACAAGTAAGGTGCAAAAACCAAATATACACAATGCCAGAAATTTAAATCTAAGTGTCATAAATATATGTTGACTGGAGTCACTTTGATGAATATGATGAGCTTTATATTTACCTTGTCATTGAGGAACCCAATCTTGAGGATGTTTTCCATGTCCTGCACCCCATCAGCCATGGTCAGGTCACCCAGAGAGTCTCCCAGCAGCAGCACGTTAGGCCGCGTCCGCAGCTCTTGGAAATGGCCAGTGTTGAGCAGTGCACCTTCCCTTTTATTGTAGATGTGGATCAGCTCTCCTTTGAAAGCCCTCAACACTCCCTGTACCAGCAGATCAAGAGTCAAATTATTTCAATCCCCATTGTGGAGATCAAACCATAATTAGTGGTGTGGCTACTCACAGACTCATCAAAGTCCATATAGTTGGAGAAGACTTTAACGTTGGGGTGGAAGACTCCGGCCTGGCGAATAACCTCTTCTAGGATGTCTCCTATTCCAGCAGAGAAGATGAGCAGAGGGATGCTGTGCTCATGCAGGTGGTCAAACAAGAGTTGGTAGCCATCCCTGTTAAAAAACATCATGGTGTATAGTTTGTCATTAAATGTAATAAAAAAACAAATCATAGTATAGCATGCCATAAAATGTGATAATATAGTATGTCACTGAAAGTGTCAAATAATAGTACATCATAAAGGTGACATTAAAAAATATCACACAAAAGAATGACATATGAAAGTCTTAGTATAGTATGTCACAAAAATGTCAAAAAGTTTCACAGCAGAGTGAGTCAGATTTTTTAAATCATATATCATGTCATAAAAACATCATAAGACAGAGTCCTAGTATGAAATAGATGTTCTGGTCTTTTAAGGGAGCAGGTTCTCTGACCTCAGCATGGCATCAGACTCCCGCACCACCGTAGCCAGCAGGTCTTTCTTAATCTTCTGCTCTACAAGTAGGTCATGAGCTTTAGTCCACCTGTGAGGTACAGATGCAGAACACTTTTATGAGCACATTAAAGTACACAATATCATATTTCTAGTAAAAGATACTTTCGTTAGATACTCACCACTCCACCATGAGGGGCAGCTTTTCTTCTACTGGCCGTGAAGAGTCGATCTCTATGGGGTAGTATGTGTTGAGCAGCTGCTTCAGCTGATGGAGACAGGACAATACTCTACATTTTACTCTATTACATTTAGAGACTATCTTCAATTTACAACTTTTTTGTCCGACTTAAAAAGCATGTCGCTGTGGGAGATAACATATTAATTATAAAGAAATGTATGATTTGTCCGTGGTTATAGCTTGATATTTTCAGATAAGTACATACAACCTGTGCCCAAAGCTTCTCTGATATCACTCGTGGTTCTGACACAATATTGTCACAAGATTGACAAGAGTTCAAGTTTTTCTATATCAGTGGTCTTACTGAAAATCCCACATTGCAAATACAAATATGAACTAAGGAAAACGAAGACTGAGCAGTAGAAAGTCTATAACAACAACCATTCACATTTCTGCATTACTGCCGAACAGTCTTTATGTTTTAATTCTGCACACTGTCCACTAGAGGGCAGACAGAATAAATAGGGTGACAATGAATGAACGAAAAATAAATTATTTTACCAAATGAAATTGAATACTGTTACATGCATTGTATTTGTGATGTCTCCACCGTGGCTCGTGTGTAAATAATATATATATATTGGAAATGTACTCAGTGGCTCTTGTACTACCAATAAAAAACTTCCATTAGCACTACAGCCTTATTCCTACCTGTTCTCTGCAGTCAGTGGAAATGAGTTTGCTGTTATCAAGGATATCTGCAAATAAAATACGCACACAAAATGACAACAACGATTAGCAAAAACTAACCTTTGAATGCCTGACAACCTCAAACTACAGCTGACTTGTCAGTGGACTTACTGTGACAGGTAGGGCACCTTTTGCCATTGTATGCAAATCTTGTGAGGGTCATGTCGAAATCTGAGATCACCTGATTGAAAAATAACAATAACATCACATTGTCAACGACAGCATCCATTTTCATTGAGAGTCTCTATGTATAGTACAAATACTAAACATGTGGACACGGTATACCTGCACGGTGTTGGAGCCAGCCTTCACCATGGACTGTAGGATCTCCTGCACCTTCTGGGGGTCCTTCATACACACTGAGGGGTTGGACAACTCTGGAATCTTTGCATTGAAAATATGAACGAGTTACATAACATGTAACAAGTGTGGTAAACTCACTGTCCCCTTGAGGCATCAAACAGTCTTCCAGCTGTGTAGATAGTTAGCTCACTGGTCAGGTGCTAGCATCAAGTTAAATACCACACTATTAAGCTTACGTACTCCCTACCCGCACAACATTTGTCAGCAGCAAACACTGAAGCTATGGCCATGATAATAATCTGTTTTAGTGTCATTAACTGAGACGGTACGCTAATAAACGTTGGGTAACATTAGCCGGTGGCGAGGCGCTAAGCTAGGTACGTTTAGCTAACCTAGCTAGCTAGCTAGTATACAAGTTTGTTGTAGTGTGTTTTTTTACTTCCTCAAAAAAAAAATCGAAAAATATGATTACCATTTTCCTGTAATGGGCTGCCGATCCGTTGCAGTTAATTTGACAACAGACGTATCATCAGTTGTCAGCCTCAGTTGGTAGGAAACGTTGATGTTGCAAAGGGGGCGACAGAGTCATCTGTTTTGGCAAGAACACTGCTGCTGCCTTCAGGTACTGTCGAAAGTGTCGGGATTTTTTATCTGACATAACAAAGCGGGAGACGGTACATTTTAATGGTTTTGCCAGTGACTGAGGTGTGACTTCTGCCAGAACACATGGATATAAACCCTTTACACAAGCTATGGTGACGGTAAAGATAATTACATGGCGTGTATTCTCTAGCTAAAAGCGACGAAACACTTATTTTCGTCTGAGGTTTACATAAATGCGAGCCTATGATAAACACGTAAAGGCAGCACTACGACTTGTATAAGTATATGTGGGACGGTATGTACTCTTCCCCCAAGGAAACGGCGATGAAAGAAGGTTCCCACTTCGTCTCTCGCTCCTCAAAGGGTATCTCTGCGAAGGGAACAAAAACGGGGCCAGTTCACAATTATACACATATACACCAATCAGTCAAAACATTAAAACCACTGATAGGTGGAGTGAATTACATTGATTATGTCGTAAAAATGCAATATTCTGCTGGGAAACCTTGGGTCCTGACATTCGTCTGCCACCTAACACTCCACTCACCCAAACAATGTTGCAGATCAAGTCACCTCCCCCATGGGTTGCCAACAAGAGGACATACTGCAGAACTCCTGTGTTCATGCCTTGACAGGTCAAAGCCAGGTCCAATACAAGGAGGCCCCACCATAGATCGTGGGTACCTCTGGGGTGGGTTTGGGTGGGTAGAGCATATCAAGTGGCATTCAAGTGAGTGCCAGGACCCAAAGTTTACCAGCAGAACATTGCATGGTAACAAAATTCTTAATGTTATTCACTTGTCATTGGTATTTTAATGATTTGGCTGATCTGTGTATTTATTACTACGTGCAATCTACTTAAACTCTTTTCAATGCACAAATTGAAGGAACTGGTCGGACTGCACGTCCTTGAACTGTACCTTATATTAGCTGCTGTGACAATTAAAATTCATTCATTGAATGTATGTTTTTTAAAATGAATTAAACTAAGAAAAAAAATTATATTTTAAATCATGTAATTCAATACCACTGATCAGATTAAAGTGTGGTCTACCAACTTTTGTTACAGGAAACCCACTTGAGCATGATGTTTAACTTTGTAACTTTTCATTTTTACAGCTAGGACAGCAGGACAAAGCACTTAACAGTCTTTTTGTAGACACAGGTTACATGAAGACTTTTGGGTAGAAACTCCTTTAACTGGTTAAGTAAAAAAAAACAATAATACACCATGTGTGCAACCATTTGTCTTACAAAACAACTTTAATTGCAAGTGATGACATTAGCATTTTACATCCAATATAAGGACACAATGTCAGACAATCACATGCAAATTACATAGCTTATTCCACTTAATATTTGCAGTGCTATTTATGTTGGTCATAAAGTGGAAATGAATATAACTTGTGCACTCTGTAACCTTTAAGCTGTAATAAGCGCTGCATGGACAGCGGGATCTGAATTTCAGTCACAACATATACATATAACAGTCCTGTTTGTTTTGCCTTTAAATCTGATTCCTTTTCATCTCATTAGGAGGGTGAGAGGAGACCACACAACAACATAGCAGATCTCTCATATACACCCAGCTGGAAGTGAGGTACAGTAACACAAGGTTTAACAAGACAGTTTATGTTAGAAACAAATCTGCAAATAATGAGAACATGTTTTTTTTCCAAGGATCAAAACTTGCTGAGCTGCTGGCTAAAACAAAGCATTTCCAAAATACAATCACCTTGTCTGATATGAAACAAAAGAAATAAGGTAAGTCAAAGTGCAGTGGCAACTTAAATCCCTATGTTTAGGTAAGACTTAAAGAATTGCATGTCAAAAAGTGCAGTTGTAGAGAAGCTCTGCTCTGCAAACTCAAATCATACACACTCTAGCACTCACACTTATGTATATACATTTTCAATGCATTTTTCTCGAATGAGTGGGAAAACACAAAGCAGCAGACTGCCAAAGTGCAAAAGAAAGAAATGATTGAGCCGTTGCCAGTGATTGGTGCTTACTGCAGCGGCCGGATAGAATGTTTCAATCTTAAGCTAACTCAAAGGAATCATTTTATTACATCTTTTCAACATAACACGTCTCTCATTATTTCATCTCTTCAGAAACCTGACGAAAAATTACTGACTTACATGAGTGACAAAAATTAAATTATGATTAAATATACTCAGTACAACTGTTGAAGGGAAACTGCAATCTAAAAGCAAACTAGTCTACGGGATGCTAAGATCAACAGCCTTTCAGAATGAATTCACATTTAGTCGTCGAGGCTGCACAACAACAAGCAGAGCCATTCTAATAGAGCAATTATGATATAAGTTAGAGTTAAGACATTTGTTCTACTTGCATGGAGAGATTGTCACAGTGTTAAAATGGAATGGGACTTCTTTAAGTGAGTTGGACTGAATGTAGGTATGCCACTATTGGTAATGCCACATAGCCTCTCCAGTACAGGCGTACAATAAAGGAATGTAAAATATCCATATAAATGTTTACATATACAGCTTTATACTATTTATGTACAAACAGATAAACAGCATCTATACCAACATACTTGACAAAAGGATATTCAGTCGTTGGCTGATATATAACACTCTTATTCACATGTTTACATTCCCCTTATCCCTCCTCAGAGACCACCAGCTGGTCAGCACACATCTGCACACACATTTCATGGCTTTCAACAAATCAGCCATTAACACAACACAGCATGAGAGCCAATGGCACAGAGTTCAGTTTGATGAAATCCAGTATGAGAGCAACACAAGGCCCCCCGCAGCATGTTATGTGTGAGTGGGGGTCGATGAAGATGGCTGCAATGAAATAGATGCTTGCAGTGTAACCTCAAACAGAGCTGTGTAGTTCTTGGATTAAACAGACACCAATTTACTCAGCACTCTATTTGTGACTGGAGCTGCCGGCGTAAGGTGAGTGTGCGCCGGTGAAGCTGCTGCATTTGCTGCATGCGATCTCGCTGGCGGGCCAGGTTCTGGGGCATGGGGTAGCGCTGGCAGCCATACAGGAAACGGTAAGGGATGCGGACATGGCAGGCAGTGGCTCGACAGCGAGGCTGGGGCATGGGTGGCAGCAGCATCCAGCGTTTCCTCTCAGCACAGTAGCGGTAGGCCTCCTTGCGGTACTGCTTGTCCACATCATCACTGTTCTTCCAGCCTCCGATGATGAAGACATCCTCGTCGAAGTGGCAAATGGCAGCACCCTCAATGCTGGTAACCTCTGGTGGCAGGCTCTCCAGGATCTCATCAGAAATGCGCACACTGATCTTTTGCTTGGCAACCTCATCCCGCACCGTGTAGCTCTTGGGGCAGCAGGAGGCTGTGTGGTAGAAGTTAGTAGAGGCCACAGCCATCTGGAAGATGCAATAGTTGTCAATAAGGGGCAGGGAGTCAACATCTTGCCACTGGCGACTCTCTGTGTCATAGCGAGTGGTCACTGTCTTTAGTCCATCCTCATTATCTGTATCGACAGGTGTGCGTGCTGTGACGTACACAAAGCGGTCCTCCACGCTCACTGCTTTCACATCCCGCAGGATTTTGGGAGCAGATTCCAGGTTGTGCCACTTGTCCTGCTCAGGTTCGTATATACTGACATCTTTGAAACCTGGACTGAAGTTTCCATGGCCACCGATGCTGTACAGTATATCCTTAATACAGGTGAGACCAAATGAGTGCTTGCGGGTGGTCAGGTTGCTCACCTGCTCCCAGGTGTTGCGATTAGGATTGTAACGTTCCACTGTCTTAGCAAAGCCTGGTTCCATAGAACCGGCTACGTAGACATGGGACTCTGTGGCAGCAATGGCATGGCCGTCCAGGTGGTTGTGGATGTGCGGCAGGTTGACCCAACGATCCTCATAAATGAAGTAGCCCACACACTCGCTGAGGTAGTCCCCACCCTCTGACACACCACCTACTACCATGATAACGTCCATGTTCTGGCCAAAGCGAGGCTGAAAGGAGGCCATGTGAGACGACCAGAACTCCATATCAGCCGACTTGAGGTTCTCAAAGCGAATAGCGTGGCCCTCCACTGCCTCTGACACCAGCCGGAGGCAGGCCTCATTGGCAGCCACAAGCCGCTCAGTTTTCACCACCCTGGTCAGGTAGGTGGGCTTGATCTGCGGCAGCCTCAGGAGACGGAACAGCTCCTCAAAGTAGCGGCTTCGCTCATCCGGGTTCTTCTGCACCCACTTCACCACAGCCTCAAACAACACCTCCTCAGAGTCCACTGTGATCTCTGCATCGGACAGCCAGTCACGGACCAGGTGAAAGGGCAACGTGTAGAACTCCTCATCCTGGATAACCTTGTGGAAGTTGCGGCGGATCATGTCTGCAGCCCGTAAAGCTAGCTGGTCCAAAGTGTACATGTGGGCCAGACTGTGCACAGCCACACAGTTGGTCAGACTCAGCTTCTTCTTGAGAAACTCACCACAGAAATCCTTCAGCTGCAGCAGGAGGAACCTAATATAGAGACAACACAGAAAGGACAGTATAGGTTATCAGACAGAATAAGCAGTTCCTGTAACTAGATAATACTGCTTTGTTTCGACTGGTTGGATCAGGCCTGTCTTACTTTCTGCAGGCACAGGACAAAAACAATACTTTTAGAGCAGCCACAGAAGGCCTCATGTTTTGGCGATCATAATCAATCGCTCACAAACTGCAATGTTAATGCAAACAGATCTTACCTGTCAGCTAGCTCCAGGACTTCATGTACATTGCAGGTGCTAACGCGTATTTCTCCTGTGTACATATACTGGATGACACTCTCCACTGTATCCGGGTCCGGCCCCAGCTCTGAGCTCCATTCCTTCATCTCTACCCGTCCAGACAAGGACTCGGAGAACTGTCCTCCGAGCAAGGGGGTGAAATAATCGGTGGCAGCAGCCAGGACCGACCTGTGGGCTGAAAACTCACAGCTCTGGACGCTCCCGCTAGCCGCCCCGCTGCTGAAGGCCAGCGTCACGTCGCAGAACAAGCCCT